GGGGGGGGGGGGGGGCAGAAATTTCTCCTGAGCGCCTGAACAGCCCCTCGCAAAGAATATGGTACCAGCACAAAGTAATGATGCATGTATAATTCCCAGCAGCAAGCCCCTAATCACTCAATATAACCCAATCCAATCTGCATCATGTACGCAATGGTGAAGGTGCAATTAAACCTCAGGAGTCCAGGCCAGGAAAGCATACGGATCCAAGGCGCTAAACAAGGGAGAATCATCTCACGGCATTGTTATGCTTTTCCCCGCAATGTAATCCCAGTACAGAGGTGGCTGTCAAAAGTTTCAGCCTATAGGGAGGTAGCGGCTGGAAGTTCTTGCTAGCGTCATCTCTATTGGCCCCGTATTCTCTACTCAAAGAGAAGAAGCCCAAACTCCAACTGTAGCTCTAAGAGAATTGATCTATGTAGAATTACTTATGGGAATACATCCAAATACTAAATGCTGTATATATTGTTTTGAAAAATTCAAAAGAACAAAAGCGACAAGGTGAAGATCAAGCTCTGTAATGGCAGAAATACTACAGCTGTACTATAAACTCGCTGTCAGCAACAATTTTTAACCCTGTCAGCTGAAACTTTCAACAGCCACTGCCAAGTCGCGATCGGCATCGAGATATCCTCGATTCCCATGTCAACAGGCTGTGGAAAATGCTGTACGCAGTACACCCTTCGTTAGTTACTTGGATTTACTTACCAATCGATTACCTCAGAATATACGCTGTCACTTACTCACCGTCGCCACAGCAGAGCGATGCTAGCCGGCTGTCCCGGCTGCAGATCACCCATTTACTGAGTGACATGTAAGTATATCGCTCATGCACGCAGTCATTTCAACGCGGTGGCGGTGCGCAACAGCCATGTTCGCCGACGTCAGCACAGTGACAACACTGTAGTACGGTTCCTGTATGTCGGGTCACTCTTACCCGAGGCACTCTGATCACTAGACGTTGGCGAGGCTCAGCAATTCACTCTGCTCACAGGCAAAAGGTTTGTTTTGTAGAGACGCTAAAATGATGATCAGACTCTTGCTCAGTTCACTTTATTCCTAGCTTAATACAGAGAAATACCAGACCGTTCTGAACAATCTCAACGGTGGAAGCTACACTCTTTACAGTATAGCTCTTACTCGCTACCCCAGTCTGGCTTACCCCTTACTAGTGGCGTATAAACTCAGTAGACTACCAAGCATGCGCTTGGCAACCGCACCCATAACGGTTCCTGACAGGGTTGCTCCCATACCCGGTAGCTTTGAGTGTTCTCAGATTTGGTCCTCAGTTGAGATCGCTTCGTCGCGTTCCCCAATTCCGGCTCTCTTTCCCCGACCGTATCTGGTGCGACCAACCGACGTGCAAAGTAACTTCAGGCTGCCGATAGCTGATTCGTGGTGCAATCCCCAAAGTCAATATTTCATTTTGCTCTCTCTTTAATGCCTGCCCGGCTTTAAACATTTTCCGAACCTTCTTCTGCCCGTTGCTGACAAGGCGCTACTGACGACAAGTGCCCGCAGAGATGGTTACACAACCCACAAAGACAGCTCAAGCAGTATATTATTTCCTGGAAGCTGAATCTCGGGGGAGGATACGCATTTCTCGTGTCTGCAAGCTGCGTAACACAAAGAGACACTAATGACCATTCTACGGCTGAATCGAGAATCGTGAACTCCACAGCCCAATGGATATGCGACGATCATCGTCTACCTACATGTGATATCGGGAGATCACCAATAGTGTATTTGCGATCCCAACGTCTCTTAATTGTTCTGCACAAGGTATGGAGCAAAGAAGATAGACAAGGGTGGACCTTGTGAAGTTGAAGCTACGCCCGTCATGTTGCATCCAGACGACGTACGGTGCACATACGATGCTCCATGGACGAAAACAGACGTAATCAAAACTTGGAAAAGGCGACCAGAGAGACCGCGTGGCCTGATCAGTGCACCGGAAAGGAACACGAGTAATCCAGGTGATAAAATGTATAAAAGGAGACCACAACCTGCACTGCCAGTTGAATCACCATCAGCATCAACCAGCAGCTTCAACATCTTACCTTCGCTTTATCCACACTCGCTCAAGACCTTGTCTAAAACCTTTTAAACTTTTCAAACAAATCAACATGCGTTATACTGTCCTCGCCTTGGCTGTCGGCGCCACTGCCGCTCCCCTCGCCAGCTACTCTTCCGGAGTCTGCCCTATTGGACTATACAGCAACCCTCAATGCTGTGCCACTGACGTCCTTGGTGTTGCCGCCTTGAACTGCCAGAACCGTAAGTCTCTCTCCTTTCTACTCCCATCACCTGGCTTTAAACGCACGACACTGATTGATTATTGTAGCGGCCACCACTCCCACCAGCGCGGATCAATTTATCAGCGGATGCGCTGGTACGGGTCAGCAAGCCAAATGCTGCGTCATCCCAGTTGCAAACCAGGCTGTCCTTTGTCAGGATGTCAGCCCTAATGCAAAGAGCAACGGCAGTGCTAACGGAGGCAACAACGGTGGTGCTAATGGAGGCAACGGCGATGATGGAGACAACAACGATGATGGAGACAACAACGATGATGGAGACAACAACGATGATGGAGACAACAACGATGATGGAGACAACAACGATGATGGAAATGGCGATGATGCTGATGGAGACAACAACGATGATGGAAATGGCGATGATGCTGATGGTGACGATGACGGTGATGCTCACGGAGCTGGTGACCAATCCGCTAAGACCCCTACTTCCTCCTATCCTGCTTCCCAGGAGACCCCTTGCCCTTCTGATGTCCCTTACTAGAGACTAGAGTGGGTTTCGTTGTGGAAAGCAGAGAGTGTGGGCGGTGTAGGCGTGGGAGGGATATTGTGCAGTGAGAAAATCAGGACTGTACTGTAGCGTTCGACAATAATATCTGCTGTGATAGCTTTCCACATCGCTTTACCTTGTTGTGCTCTTTGCTGATTTGTGAACTGACTTACGAATCCGGGTCAGCCGTACGAATCCGGGATTGTGATCAACACTGACTGAGCTATTGAGAATGGGCACTGTGAAGAACACGACGTGTTGGGCATAATAGTAAGATTAGAAAAAATCTAGACAACTATCCATGCACATCTGTTCAACTACCACCGTGTATCTGGAATAAATACACAAGAAACATGACATGCCCTTCAAAATGCTTAGTTGACATAGCACTGCAGTGCTACACATGACAAACTCTCACCGGTACGTCAACATTAACTTTCTAACTATGTAGTCCACACACCCCAGCTAGTAAACTACGCGCCGGACGAAACAAGCAACACACTACTCTCCGTACTCTCCGTATACTTACAGTACTCTCCGTAAAAGCACCGGTCCAAGACCCTCGGCGCTGACTCACGGTCCGTTTCAAAAAGATTACCTCAGCGCATACGCCGCATCCCCCACCAACCAACGCAAATCATTCAGCCCTGCCACCCCCCCTCCCCCCCAAAAAAAACAGCCAACCAAATACCCAAGTCCCCTGACCCTTGGCCTCCCCTATCGCGTATAAGTACTCATCCAAACCCCTATTCTCGTTCCTCATCATCACACTCGGAGAAAGAGAAAAGAGAGACAAGAAAGAAAAAAAAGGCATTTCAAATCACCACCGAAGCACCATCCGATTCCCCTCTTCCGAACCATGACCGCCGCAGTCGAAGCGCCGTGTGCCAACAAGCCATAGTCCCAAAACGTCGACTTGCAGCAGCTGGCTCGGGAGCGAAGGCATCATAGCCAGATGGAAGTGGGTCCGTTCCCCCCCCCCTCCATCCAACCTCGCCTAGCGGTGCGGGCCGTGGGTTAATGCTGGCGCCTCGTTTGTAGCCGGTGCGCGAGTCGAGAATGCACTTAAAGGAAGGGGGGCGGGTGGCAGCGATTAGGCTAGGTTGGGTTAGGTACGTGGTGTTGGGTGTTTATTTATTTTGGCTTTCTCAAGGGAAAAGGAAGGGTGTTAGTGTTCGAGAGAGTTGGACTAAGAGGGGGGAGGGGAAGTGCTGTTTTGTGGGTTGATGAGGATATGGGTGATTTTCTATATGCCCGCTTGTGAGTGAGGTTTATATGGAAATGGTGGCGAACGATTACTACTACTATTGGACAGCCCCCAAAAGGTTAGAATGCGAAACCTACTAGAATCTGAAACTAGAAATTAAGAAAATTAAGAAAAAAAATCCTAGATCTACTGGAGTTTTAGAAGTGATGGGATGAGTTCTTTCCACTTGATAGTGGATGGGGAAGGTAAGGGAGACACCGTCGGAGACCCTAGCGTCGCCCCAGAGGTCTACGTCAGAAGGAAAACATTAATTCGAGATGTTGATCATGTGATGTAAAATCCTGCGAAGTGAACGCAATAAGGATATCAGAATAAATGGATTTTAATGCCACTGTTACGAATATATAGCTACTCGGCTCTCAGATAACGTTTTGCAGTATACTACGCCTTCTTAGGCCGTGTAGTGCAGTGGAGCCGAGCTGTTACGTTATATAAACTCAACTATTCTCACACACGCTATCTCTACTAAATCGTTAGATAACTATTCACAGTGCTTATACCAATGACTGCTTAGTCTAAACTATATTGAGGCTGGAGAAATATAAGCACTTGACTCTATGGACCATCAAACTACAACTCTTAATATTACAGAACGTAGTAGAGTACTTCTAGGTACACTGGATATTCTAGATGCCCACCAAACTAGCTAATCTGGCTAGGGCAATGTGTATTTGGAGTGGCTGTAATGAGCTAGACTAGCTAGAGTTCTTCTACTACCTTGTAGATTTGGTATAACTTGATTTGTTTCTGAATACTTATTAGATAGCGCATTAGATTAATTACCCTAGAAAAGAAGAGCAGGCCATACCCTAATCTTCTTGAATTAGGTATCGAAAAAACAACTTTGTAGTTAAAGTCAGACGATTCGAATAAGAAGCATGAGCGAGACACTGCTTTTGAACTCTTGAAAATGAGTTAGTAACACTACCAATACTGTATACACCCCTTAATTAAATGTAGTATTTACAGGGTTGAGTTCTAACCTTTAGAGTGCAATCGTTACCCGTACGCATACCTCTTAGTCTAGAGGGTGACTTTTGCTACTAAAGGTGACTTTCGCTACTGAAGGTCACCTTTACTCCCCACTCTCCTTCCCTTCTACGCACCACTTTCTAACTTTGATACACGCTAATTCTTATCAATCATGACTACAAATCCACGACACTAGAAACTCTCAATTTTATTACTGCCTTCTTGCTAGTAGCGCATAATTAATCCATTGATTCGTTCAGTTACTTCTTGATTAATTCGCTCAATCTAATAGATGTAAGGAAAAAAAATAGTAGCGAGAGAATAATCACATTAGAAACGCCCGATTAGAATTTACTGAATTAGTTGTTCCGAAGTGTGTTCCCGGTCCACTGAAATGTCTAAATAGAAATTACACCAACTAAAACAGCGCAATACCGAGAATAATGTAACGACACAGTAGTATTATCAAATAATATGCTTTGTTCCTATAGTGTGATCGCTCAAGCTAGAGATATTTATCTACTTCTCTGCTATCGACGTTGCGGAGGTAAAGGGGGAGGTAGTATCACACTTATCTAGCTATTCGGCTCTTAGATGCTGCTATGTAGTATACTAGATATTGCTAGGACGTGTAGTGTAGTGGAGTTGAGCTGTTGCGTTATACGTAACTACTCTTCTCTATAGTAAGACTCATGGTTCGACAGTATCTATACCCGTTTAATCACATATTAGTCTGTTCGTTGAACTCTAGTGATTTTACATACAAAATCATTTTTATTCTAACGGTGTTACGTCGAATGCAGATAGTTGCAAGTGCCAGCTCTGTTTTAATAGTCGCGGTTTTTTTTATCTAGGGATTTCAGTAAACTAAGAGATGTGTAGTTTCGTGTGGAGGGAATGCGTCTTGAGAAATATTCTAGAATGTAGTTTGAGTAAGGTAGCATCGCTGCAACTGACATGTGTTTAAAAATACGGGGATACATAAACGAGGCTCCTGTTTCGAGGGATTATTGAAATTTGTATAGTGCGAGGACATGTAGTCATAATACCAAATATCCATTTTTTGTGATAACATTAAGCTTGGTTTCGTAATGGTAAAATAACCTCTAACATACTGCAATTTAGTTCGTCAAAAAGAGCGTAGATGATGGTGCTGCAGAAAAAGAAGGTACGGTCAAAGACATGATGTCATCACATCTTCTAACTATCAGCTAGCTCGACCACCACAAAGATGCTGCTCTAGTGATTAGCAACCAACAATCTTTCCTACCTTATCCTTTTCAAAAACTTTTTGTATATATGTGAGCTGAGATTATATTCTGCACAAATGGCAAAATCGTGTACACTCTGTTCTACACCGCGCCCGGTGCTAGTCCGGTGCCAAATCGACTCGACAGAGAAATGGCATTTTGTATGTCCTGGAGCATGCTGGAAGGCGGTCTCTGGGGGTATGGAAGACGCAAAAGGTCTCAAGGAAGAGTTTCCGTATTACCGCTATGGTGGTATGGTGAGTGCAGTTCCTTTGGTGAACAGAGATGATGGTGCAAGTAGAGATATCGGTGCGAACAGAAGCTGACTGGGTGGTACGATGAAACAGTGGAAGGACAGGAGTGCAGATGGGCCGGTAAGCGCGAAGAAGCCGAAAAAAGTCAAGGAAAGACAGAGGGAGGAGATGAAAGCTAGAGGAGGAGATGGTGGTGCAGAGGGTGGGGAGGTTGATGCTAAGGAGGCTGAAGATGGTACTGCATTGGCTTAGAGTAAGCAAAGACACAGTCGATTGGTATTATCAGTGATACTATTTTTCTTCCTCTGTTTGTGCAATGCGCGGGCGTGTAGCTGGTCATATCAAAGTTCGGCGATGGACGGATGGGGTGATGATAGTTGAAGTAGCAGGGCCAAAGGGGCATGGTGCGGACTAGCTGTCGTGACACGCGAAGTGCAGGTGCAGCTGGGGCAAGAGGTGGAGAAAAGGCAGTTGGTGGTTGCTTTGAGTTTATTGAAAATATCTATTCTTGACCGTGTGCACAGCCCGCTAGGACGAGGGCGAGGGATTTTGGGCCATCATGACGACGTTGGACATGTGTTTAGTCGGGACGTCGTGTTGCTATTGATAGATCTTTATGCAGCGGGGCTCTGCCATCGGTCCCTTGAGCCCATGCACTTAGTCATTAGCGGGGGGCAGCTATCACAAGCGCCCGGACCCGCGGCCCCGTTGAGATGGGTCGCATCCTTTCTGCAATGGGCCTGGGATTGGCGATGCAGCGTTTGCTGGAAGAGCGACATGGCGTTGTTGATGTTGATGTTGTGGTTGTTGCGCTGCAATTGGCACCGAGGCCAAGGCGGAAGAAGGGTCGGGTAGTAGTAGGGCACGGCAAGCTAGGATAGTGCTTGGATGAGGTCAGGATGCAGACACGGGCTTTGGAGTTGATGCACCATGTATGTAGGATGGGAAAGGTCAAGTATAGGCATGTTGGTGATTGCGGTAGGTCCGATGGTTGAGCCAACAGAGTAGTCCAACGTCAGCCACACGGCGGCCTTGGGCGCTACTCAGAAGATCAGACGGTCGGGGTACAGGCAGGCAGGGTGGCAGCGCAGTAAGGGTCCTGTCGCGTGCGCTGCCAGGGACAGGAGCCAGGAGCTGGTTCCTGAGGGTGTAGACATAGTCAGACGGCTGCTGTTAGTGCAGACGGGAAATGTATTTCGAGAAAGGTGCATGGCCAGGGCGGCAGCGTAGACGCGGAGACCAACCAGCGCATCGACTAAGACGACTCTTTGGCTTTGCGAGTGGAATATGAAACAAGATCCGGGACCAGTGATAAAGACGGACGTCCTCTCAGCGCTTGCGGAAACACTCGACAGCAGCCTTTCTCGTTCAGTGCCGTGGCATTTCCCCCGCTCGACAACGCCGCAATCTCTTTGACGTTGTGCACACACACACACACACACTCAGTTGTTGCCCGCCCACACGCCCACTTGGTTGCTTGCTTTTGTGCCGCTGGGCCACATTGCCGCCGGTCGAGTGCAACTACCTACTTAGTCCACGCATCAAATGAAGGCTGGAGAGGCGTCAACCGAGCCTCGAACCGCTGAAGATCCGCCCAGAGAGCTTCCCGGCAAGCCTCGCGCGCACGCGCCTAACCCACTCTCCGCCACAGTCGCCGTCCCGAGCCCCTCCAGCACACTCGACTTTTGAAACCCAAAGGACCCGCAGGCTCTGGCGGTCCCAGCAAAGCAGCTCCGACGTCTCCCCGGCTTGGACTTGCAGCTCCTCTCTTGTCCCCTCGCCCCTCTGCCGCCGCACACGAAAAAAGCCTCCTGAGCAAGGCCTTACCCGAGCCCACTCGCGCCTGCCGCCTGCCGTCAGTCGCGCCCGCACCTGGCATTAGTGACTCGTGGCCGCCAACGTCACTCGTGCCCCGACCCGGCCTTCCTCTCGCTCGACTCTCAACCAAAGCTTCACTCTTTGGCCCCAACCCCTCTCCTTCTCTCTTCCCTTGTCTCTCTCCTTCTCTTTCTCAAGGCCCAGCGACCCGCCTGCCCACCTCGGCTGTGTGCAGCGACCCACTCGGCTGGGACCGAATACCCTCAGCTTGCACCCTCAACAACAACCCACCATACCACCCTGGTCCAAGCTGCCAGCGTCCCTCTTCTGTGGCAGGAAGACAACGTAGATGCAGTCGTCCAGCAACGGCCCTTCGCCGCAACCACAGCCAAACATGTCGGCCCCCGCGCCCCTCCTTCGCCCGCCCATCCCCGGCGCACGCCCCGGAAGAAGAGGCCCGCCATCTCTCGGTCTCTCCATACCACCCTCGCCAAACCAACGTCCCGTCACAAACGATGCAAATGGAAACCTTACACAGTCGCGTCCACAGCCCCCCAAGCTCAACATCATGACTCCCATGGGCTCCAACAATGCGCCGCACGAGGGCAGGCAGGGACCCCGCGGCCTACCACCCCTACAAATCGGCCCAGGCCTCTCCGCCTCGGGCTCAGGCTCAAGCGATGCCAGCGCCCATTCGAGGTCTGGTAGCTTTGGCGAAATGCCAGTAACCAGCTCGGCTTCTTCATACCATGCCGCATTGGGCTTTCCAGGCCTGCAGAAAGATCCTATTTCTGCCATATCACAAGGAGGCAGTGAGGGCGCACAATCCATGGAGCGTGTCGGTAGCAGTCAGCCATTGCCAGATCTAGACGCCATGGCTGCGGAGAAGGGGCGGCCGTTGGAGGTTGACGATCTCGATGATGCGGCATGGCGAGCAGCGAGTGCAAGAGGTCTGATAGAGGAAAAGGGTAGTTTGGGTGAAGGTGCTGGAGGAGCCGTCACCAAGTGCGTACTCAAGGGCGGAAAGACTACATTTGCTCTAAAGGTGCGTCATTTTCATTGTGCTGCACGTTGCGTCGCTAACATCTGTTCTAGATCATCACCACGAATCCCGACCCTGATGTCAAGAAGCAAATCGTACGAGAGCTATCCTTTAACAAGAATTGTGCTAGTGACCACATTTGCCGCTACTACGGTGCCTTTATGGACGACAGCACGGGAACTATCAGCATTGCCATGGAGTTTTGCGAGGGTGGTTCGCTAGACGCGGTATATCGCGAAGTCAAAAAGCTTGGAGGCCGAACAGGCGAGAAGGTCCTGGGCAAGGTTGCCGAAGGTGTGCTGAATGGCCTGACATACCTCCACTCTCACCGCATCATCCATCGAGACATTAAGCCCAGTAACATTCTACTGTGTCGGAACGGGCAAGTCAAACTATGTGATTTTGGTGTATCCGGAGAGTTTGGAACAAAGGGCGATGCCAATACCTTCATTGGAACATCATACTACATGGCACCAGAGCGCATTACCGGTCAGAGCTACACCATCACCAGTGATGTGTGGAGCTTGGGCGTGACTCTTCTTGAGGTCGCCCAACATCGATTCCCCTTCCCAGCAGATGGCACTGAGATGAACCCTCGTGCTGGTCTAATCGATCTGCTCACGTACATTGTGCGGCAGCCCATCCCCAAGCTAAAGGACGAGCCTGAAAATGGCATCAAGTGGACAGAAAACTTCAAGTACTTCATCGAGTGCTGGTACGTACATGTTCTGCCTCTAAAGTATGATTTTTACTTACAATTTGTAGTCTTGAGAAAGATTGCCCTCGAAGAGCCACACCTTGGCGGATGCTCGAGCATCCGTGGATGGTTGAGATGAAGTCCAAGAAGGTCAACATGGCACACTTCCTCAAGCAAGTATGGGACTGGAAGGATTAAACACACATGTACCACCATCTTAGATTCGGCTTATGATGACTGTGTCGTCATATTATACTGCGCAGTGTCAAAAAGGCACTGCCGGTTCTGCACTGACCTAGGAGCAGCTTCTTTTGTACCTTCATTTCAATCGCCAGGTCGCGTGCTGGCATGAGATCACAGGCTGCCGACATACATACTCTTGCTTTGGTTGTCAAAACGGCTTTCTTCGAATTGGGAATTTATATATCAGGAGTCCTGAGATGTGGACGAGTATCACATGGGAAGCCATACAAGATCTCAAAGGCACTGAGAAGTGGAGATTAATTGGGTGGTTGCGCTGGAGGAGTCCCATTGGCATTGACGGCGTCTGAGCGGTTCAGGTTGCATATAGCGGCATATCAGAAAATCGCGAATCTGGAGACGAACAATAGTTGGCCATATAGTACTTCAATATGTATAACAATGCCTTTTGAAAGCAGTATGCCAAGTGACAGCATGACGCATGGAGGGCGATAGTCTCAGGCCTGGTTACTTAATTGAGATTAGTGCCTGATCCGGTCCGACACACCTCCGACAGGTGCTCTCGACGCTTGGAGTCATACCAAATAATTTACGCCGCAACCGCAGCCGGCCAATTGAGCACTTCGCGGAATCCAAGGTCCTTCTTAGCACGGATCCTTCACAGGCAACTAGCGCAAAAGACTCTGCGAACAGTTGACTTCCCACAATCTTGACGAGTCGCTCCCCACGCGCAACTACCCCTCCAACTACCCCTCCATTCACACCAGACCGCATCTGAAGTCTCCAAGATGCCGACCATCGCCGTGGACAAGGCTGCTCTCTTCAAGGAGTTGGGCCGAACATACACGACGCAAGAGTTTGACGAGCTATGTTTCGAATTTGGTATCGAGTTGGACGAGGACACGAGCGAAAGCACAAAGCCCGAAGATCTGGCGCAACCACCACAGCTCAAGATTGAAATCCCGGCCAACAGATATGACATGTTGTGCTTCGAGGGTATTGCCATGAACTTGAAGGTTTTCCTGGAACAACAAAAGCTGCCCAAGTGGACTCTGACACCGCCGAAAAGTGGAGAGTTGGAGGTTTTGGATATCAAGCCCGAGGTATGTCAGACTTGAGCCAACAAACCCCCTATGGCTTCATAAGAAGATTGTTTCTGATCATGCATAGACTAAGCAAATACGAGAGCTTTGTTCAGGTGTCATTCTAAGGGGCATCACTTTCACAAAAGAACGCTACGAATCCTTCATTGCCCTACAAGACAAGCTACACTCAAACTTGGCACGCCAGAGGACGCTGGTATCCATAGGAACACACGATCTGGATAGTAGGTGTTGTATGTCAGGGTATTGAGTGCAGTGGCTAATGTGCGACAGCAATCAAGGGTCCCTTCTCCTATGAAGCACTACCACCAGAGCAAATCAAGTTCGTCCCCTTGAACCAGACCAAGGAGATGAACGCCAAGGAGCTTATGGAGTTTTACGATGTTCGTGTCTCTTGTCTAGCCGCTTTTTATTTTGTCTCTAACGTGAAGCAGAAAGACAAGCATCTCGGCCGTTTCCTGCATATCATCCGCGATTCACCCGTATACCCCGTTATTTACGACTCGAACAGAACCGTCCTCTCGCTACCTCCTATTATCAACGGCAACCACAGCAAGATTACTTTGGACACGAAGAACGTTTTCATTGAGATTACTGCCACCGACAAGACCAAGGTTGAGATTGTCTGTCACATGCTCGTAGCCATGTTCGCTGGATACGCTGAATCGATAGAGCCAATCAAGATCAATTCACCACACAATGGCGAGTCGAGAGAATCGCCAGATTTGTCGCCAAGGCAGACGCAGGCAGAGGTTGACTACCTGAATCAGGTCACTGGTCTGGACCTGTCGCCAGAAGAGATTTGCAAGCTTTTGTCACGTATGGGTCACGATGTCTCGCCATCAAAGTCAGATAAGAACATTCTAGATGTCTCAGTGCCGATTACTCGAGCAGACATTCTGCACCAGGCCGACATAATGGAGGACTATGCCATCGCTTATGGCTTCAACAAGTTGCCACGAGTGTACCCGAACAAGACCGCTGCTGTTTCAGCACCATTACCGATCAACAAGCTCGGCGACATTGTACGATTAGAATCTGCTTCTGCGGGATGGACCGAAGTCATGCCTCTCATTCTCTGCTCACACGAGGAGAACTTTGAATGGCTGAACCGGAAAGACGACGGAAAGACGGCAGTGAAGCTTGCAAACCCCAAGACTGCTGAATACCAGATCGTACGAACATCGCTGTTACCCGGTTTACTGAAGACGATCAACTCAAACAAGCACCACTCAGTTCCTATGAAGATTTTTGAGGTCAGCGATATTGGACTTGTTGACTTGGAGCAGGAGAGAAAGAGCAAGAACGAGCGACACTTTGCGGCGGCCTACATGGGCAAGACTAGCGGGTTTGAGCAAGTACATGGTCTGCTGGACAGGCTGATGCTCATGCTTCGATCCGCCTTTCTGACCCGGGAAGATGGATTGAAGAATGAGCAGCTCCAAGGTTACTGGATAGAAGAGGTTGATGGTAAGTGCAGATGTGGGAACGTTATCTTTTTTGAATGTGCGCTAATATGATGCAGATGCTACTTTCCTTCCTGGACACGCAGCGGCCATCAAGGTGAACCTCGGTGGCAAGAACCACACCATTGGTGTTTTTGGTATTTTGCACCCGAGTGTACTGCAAAAGTTTGAGCTTCCGTAAGTTGTTAATGGTCGCACTTTCAAAGTTAAATGCTAATAATAACTATAGATACCCCGTCAGCACGCTAGAGTTCAACCTTGAGGTGTTCTTGTAGAGCATTGCGTAAGTGTTCTTGGCACTAGATGTCTGGGAGAGGTTATATACCAATCGAATCGAATTGAGAAATTATCTCTGAGTCATCATGAATATTGTGTCGTTCTAATGTGATGCTTGATGATTTAGTCGTGAATTATTGTTGCTCATTTTACCGCCAGCCCTGATCCGATAGTAGAGGTGCTGATTGCTTTCATTGGATGACCATTGGTGACTAAGTTTTCTCACTCATGTGTGCTTTGTTTACTTCCTCACTGTAATGCTCCTTGGCAACGCATTTCTAAGCATAATGGCCAAACTATTTGCATATAGATATTAACGTGTTTGAGGTTCGTCTTAGTATGCAATTATTGAGTATTAAAAATAAGTTCGAGGGTATCTCACAAAGCAAAGACTAGCGTAGGTAGAACTCCCCCCAAAAAAGCGAGGTACTTCACAATTCACATTTCACATTTCATTGATCCCACCACTAAGTTTTTTTTTGACATGCGAACACGATGTAAGTCGTATATTTGGGCACTATATATATCCATTATCTCTCTCTCTCTCTCTCTCTCTCTCTCTCTCTCTCTCCCTTCCTGCCAATCCTTCCCATCAAAGCAAACAAAGCCAATTTCAAGCCTTCTGCCGCCTGCTCTGGACAAAATCGACAAAGTCGAAAAAACTCTTCTTATACCTCCGTACCTGCGTCGTACGATTGACAGTTTGGATACCAAACTGCTGATTGAAGTCTCCAAACTCCCAGTTATCTGCCCAGGACCAAGCAAACGCACCTATAAACTCTACTCCGTCCTCCCAGATAGCTTTGAGACCTTCGGCGAGGTAGGTTTGGTAGTATTGGGAGCGGGGGCTGTCGAATTCCTGGTCGGATTGGGTTTTTTGGGACTCGGCGAAGACGGGGAAGCCGAATTCGGTTACGGCGACGGGGTGGCGCCAGGTGTTGTAGAGGTAGGAGAGGTAGGTGCGGAAGTAGGAAGGGGTGATGTAGACGTAGGATTGGCTGCGGTAGCCAAAGTTCCAGCCCGTGGTTGTGGTTTGGGATTGTGTGACGCAGTAAGGGCGTAAGGGGTGAGTGATGTTTGCGGCGCAGTCGGCGATGGTGTCGTTGGGTGGGGGGCTAACGACGGTGGCGGTGTAGGGCTGGATGGAGAAGAAGTCTGCGGTGCCGTTTATGTAGGCGAGGTCGGATTCGCTGAGGGGCACGTAGTCTGCTATGCTCATCTTGAAGGCTTCTGGGTAGTCTTTTCCGAGGAAGATGGGGTTGGCGAAGGTAGCGAGTTGGAACTCGTTGAAGTGGTTGGCAGCGTCGACGTCGGCAGGGTTGTTTGGATCGCGGGGGACGCCAAAGTTGTCGCTGAGGGTGAAGGAAAATTTGCCTTTGCCGCCGATTTCTTCCTTGTAAAAGTGGTAGAGTCTTGCGTGTGATTTGATGACAGAATCAACAGATTTTCCGTTTCTGGAACCGAGGAGCGGCTCGTTGTATGACCACCAGATAGGGACGCGGTCGGCAAAATGCGTCATGAGAATCTTACCATAGTTGACAAATGCATCTTCCCACGTTACATTCTTATAGCTGCACTGAAAGCAACTGTCCAGGTAGCCAATTCCGCCAGTGCCTGGCTGGATGAACACGGTGCTGATGTTGGAGAAGAATTGGAATGGGCTGTCGTTGTGGTAAATGACGATGGCCGGCAGCATGCCCTTTTCCAAGACAAAGTCGATGAGTTCGTCATAATGCGCAAGACCCGGCTCATTAACTGGTGTACCTGGGAGTATAAAAGGGAGGATACGTGTCCAGGGAATGGAGAAGCGGTAGTACTTTACGCCCATGGCTGCGATGCGCTCAATGTCTTGCTTGTAGAGATAGTAGTTTTCATTGGCTACCCAGTTTGGCGATTGGCCTGGGTTGTTAAGGCTAGCAACATCGTTGTGGGCTGGCGTCCGGCCCTCGTCGGCGATAGCACCTTCAATTTGGACTGCTGATGCGGCAACACCGAGCATAAAGTCGGCTGGGAAATAGTAGCAGGTCTGGGGGACCAGAGGTTCAGGCGGAGGTAGGACAAGCTCACTAGTCGGTACTGGAGTTGGCGACACGGTAGCAGAGTAGATGCCTCGTGTAAAATTTACCCAGGGAACGGTTGCCCAGAGAGCAGACCAGGAAGCGTTTCCATATGGGCTGGCCGTGTCGGTTGCAGTAGCGTTGGATCCGGGATACCAGTTTCCCCACTGTGTTGTTGCTAGATCGGGCACAAGGCTACTGAGAGATTGATAGGGTGGTGCATAAGTAGTCGTGGTTGTTGGTGGGGGAATTGAGGTGGCTGTACGAACAGTTTCGGTCTGCGTGAAACTAAATTCCCGGAAGCTGTATGCAGGAAGCGCAGTTGCGTAGCTGTTATTTGCAGCACACTGCGGTCGCGAGACTGGTCCTTGGGCGGGAACGTAGACTTGCTGGGCAAGAGCCACAGCTCCGCAGACCAAGAGATTATGAGGTCTCATATTATCTATGTAGAGAAGCGTCACCCATATGGGCAGTATACATTGTGGTTCTTATACATGTCACAGGCACATGGGAGGACCTGGGGTTAGACTGCGGGGATGTGCTTAGCGAGTCAGTTTGACGTCGTCATTGTACGAGTCCAGTGACCAGCCACGATGTAACAGTACATGGGAAAAGTACAGGGAAACGAGCAGGCCTAGCCGTATTTGCCTACATTTTGGAGTCTGTGGAAAGGGAAACCTCGGACGAGGTCGGTCGGGGTAATTGTCGGGTTGTGGAGTGTGGGGAATGGTGTGGGGTAAACCCTTGCTTAGGATGACGACTATGACCTCAAGGTAGCGATCTTCCGATCCTCGCTACGATATCAACCCGTTCTCACATTGCGTTCTCCGTGTACCGGAGTTTCCACAAGTGGTTGCAAGTTGCTAGTACGTTTTTCTACCGCAAGTTACCCCGAGGTTATTTGGAAACCCCAGCAACCTTGCCGTGCGTAGTAGGATTAAGCATTCCAACTATTCGCGGCTTATGTGATTGTGGTTAACCGCGCGGTAACGCTGGAGCATATGGCCGACGAAGCTTAGGTGAGAAATGACGTACGAGTACTGTTTTTGCAAAGCTTGTCGTAATGTTCTTTTGTCGCAATGATACGATGCAATCCAAACACCACACGGATTCAATATCTGCCCACGAATGCTCCGCTTCACAAGTATTATGAAGAGAGATGTTTTGACGAAATGGTCGATGAGGAATAGAGAGATTTGAAGAGGCCTATATTGTGCACCGAGGATCGAGTGCGGTGCAGTACAAACGCTATATAGACTCGTCTGCATACAGCTATAGCCTGGTTAGACAGAAAAACAGGCTTGCGCGGGCCTTTTGATATTTGGGCATCTGAACATGAAGTGGTGTTGCGGAATGTGTCAATGACTTGTGGAAAGTACATGGACATGCCGGAGGGTTGATCTGCAGGTGCCAAGGCGTCTACTTAATTGGGCTAGTGCTGTAGATGACAAAGACACGGAAAAAAGAATTGCGAACAGCGAGCCTTGTGTTGGTCAAAGCAAACGCACCGGAGCGGCCGTCCGAGAGTGGGGAGACGATGGTAAATGCTGCAGGCAAGCGGGGGTGTTGGGACGATGGAGTCAACGTGCGCACGCTAGCATCGAGCATATGCCGAGGCCGAGCATGAAGTTCAAAGTGGGCGTTAACTCGGCCAAGCGGGAGGGCATGATTGATGACTGTGGTCTCCATAACGTGGAGCCTGGGTATATCGATTATCGATTATCGAATTGACTATGGCGACACAGACAGGCAAGGCTGGCTAGCTAGCTCGGGATGCGCCGCCTTGACGATCTGACGCCACATTTACTATAAATGTACAGGTCAATGCCTCCGCGTCGGGGCACAAAGCAGAATAGGTGTTGGCGCCGTGGTAAGAGATGGTTTGGTGTCACTCGTCATATTTAGCTTTTGGAATAAACCTTGGGGGAAAAAAAGGGACAGGAGTGGGAAGCAAAGTTGCGGCTTAGCCAGGGGGGATGCGAGAGTGTAACGATTTTTTTTCCTCAGCTACACCGCCAATGGAGTGGATGTGGCTAGTCAGCGTGTGGAGCCAAGGATGCATGTCCGTCAGTACTTGGACATGTGTGTACATGCGCAGCGGCAAGAAGGCGATATCGAGCAAGACGAGTGGATAGGGAGGGGAGGTTGAGTCGGGGTAGTCGGGAGGTGGAGACGTATGTAATGTGGTATGCAGGAGAAGGTCAAGAAGCTGGTGCATGTTGCGGTTTGGTAAGTTGCGCGACGCGTCTCAGTGCTGCGACCAAGGGCGGGATTGCGGTGTGAGGAGGAAAAAAAGCGAGGGCCGTGCACTGTTTACATGGAGCTTCACCGGTGTAGCGGAGGTATTAGCTCCGTCATCAGAGGGTGTGGTGGTTGATTTTGTTGTTGTTGTTATTGTTGTTGCCGTTGTTGCAGTCATAGCCCCAGACCTCGGCACTGCTACAATCGAGGTGTGATCAGGGCCAATGGTGGAGTGGATACATTCGTATGTGCACATGTGAGTACAATGTCCATATGTAGGTACATACGTATACAGACAAGTTCATACGAAGTTCCATACTGGATGCGTCCATGAGCATGCCGGAATTGGCGGTGGTCGGGGGCGTGATTGGGCTGTCGCGGCCTGCCGAAGACGTTGGGCTAGGTCGAATGCAGGCACCCATTCAGGGTCTGTCTAGCCTGGGAAGGCGCCCGTCTTTGGACTGGCCAGGGATCACCATGGCGGCTGCACTCACACACCCACGAGGGCTTTTGTTTGATGCCAACAGATTGCCGGGAGATGGTGTCTTGAGGGGGGCTATATGCAATGAGGCTGTGCAGTGGATGCAATATATGTGAGTAAGTGAGTGAGGGTGCATGCATGAGGGCGTCGGGTAGTTGCTTGCTCGCAGCCTACCTGCCCCAGATTCGATAGCGGCGGTGCCGGCGGCAGGTACCACCGCTTAGCCGGCCTCTCCGCCCATCGCAGCCGCCCACGGTATCGCGACGCTCCTCCTCGCACACTGCTCCGACGTCCTCAGCTCCACGACATCACCCATCTCCGCCTACCAGTCTCGCCCGCGCATGTGACCGCTTTCGCATCAAACAACTCGGCATCGTCCGCCCTGCGCTCGTGTCAACGCAGTCAATTCCCGGCGGCTGAAACGCCCAAAGGTGCATTGTGCGTCGGGCGGTTGGCACACGGCCCAGAACGACACGAGCACTGCACTACCCCCTGCGCTTCTTAGTTTCGCCGTCGCCGCGTGCCAAAGGCTTCGCGAGACTACCAAGACTATGTATACGCGCAGACCGCCGCCATGACTGCCCCAAATCTCCCCTCGCCCCCGCCTGATGCCAACCACCATCCTCACGACGGCCCTGTAGCTCTCCCTCTCTGCTCTCTCCCTGCTGCTGCTACCACCGACACCACCACCACCACCACTCCTCCAACCAACCCAACCGCCCCATCCTCGGCCCTCCAACCACGCCCTATACTCGACGACACGCCATCCACCATGGGAGAAAGCACCACCATGCCACGCCAGCTTGCAAACACCTCCGACTCCACCATGACCTCACGCCGCCCCTCGACTCCCCGCTCGCAAACGGACCCTCAGCCAGACACCATCGCTTCCCTCTCGACGCATCAACCGAGCACACTGTTCTATGCGCGCTCTCACCTCCGCTCGCGCAGCGGATCGGCCATACCCATGGCACGAGCCCACTCGCTACCGACTGTCATGCAACCCCCCTCCAACTTTGTGCTTTCCTCCAGCCCAGTACAGCTCGCCAGGCCCACGTCCCCTCTGCCCTCACCAAAGCGAACGCGCAGCCCCCGCGCGCTCGACTCCCGCCTACTCGCCACTCGTCCAGTCTCCATGGGCTCCTTTGATGGCGCCCCAAGCGTCTGCGACATCTCCGAAGACGCAGAGCTTGAGCTCAAGCCCAGAGTCGGCACCACCGTCTCCAACCTCTACAGCAACACCCCTTCGCTCTCCCGGCGACGACGTCCAGTCTCGCCCCTCTACCACGTCTCCATTCCCTTTGGCCACCCGCCTACCAGCAATCCTTTTGCTAGCACACCCACCTCGACTGCCTCTTCGCCTCTCTTTGCTCCAGCAAAGTTCAACGAGAACTACCCTGCCTCACTTGCATCTTCGTCTGTCCCTTCTACCCCCACGTCGATGCGCTCCCGCAGTCCCTCCATCTCGTCTCTCGAAACCATCGAGGACAGTCCAGATGCCGAGGAAGAAGCAATCGAGGCTGACCGCATCGCAAAATTAAAGGCCGCCGCCGATCGTGAGGACGGTGGAGATGCAAGGAGGTCTAGCCTGGACGGCCCTGAGGGTCGTGGGCGTAGCAGCATGGGCTTTGGCAAGCGAGATTCTAGAAAGAGGTGGAGTGTCTGCGGAGCCGAACGACGAGGAGACCTGGACCTCGAGACTATTTGGGAGGACTAATCATGAAAGCAGCATATCAACAAGGGTTACCTGGCGTTACTGCAAGCATTATTGCATTTTCAAAGCACTCATTTGTCAGCGCGTGGAGTTTTGGTGTTTTGTTCTGCTGTGGTTTTTTTGGTTTTTTTTATCGCCCATGTGGTAGCGGACAGATCCGCGTCTTTTCTTCCTTGTTTTTTTACATTACGATCGCCCAACGTCCCATGAGTCTCGTTTCATCTAATGGGATAGGGTTGCGAATTTGGTCTCACACATATATAGCATGACATGTTTCCACGATACGAGACAACTGTCAGCAGATGATACCCTCCTTGGTAGGAGCTCTGGTTTTACACATGAAGAAATCGAGAGTATTAGTCAACTCGACCCATGTGAAGCACGCCTTAGTAATAACAATACATTATCACAAATCACTGTTAGCAATTATGCATCTCATCGTGTGCACAAGTACGCTTTTCTACAAGCTAGTACTTCCGCTTTGGGAAACTACAACAGTCGGCCAATGACATCACATCACATCCAGCTACCTAGTGGGGTCACTCGGACACGACTGCCCCTCAAACACCAACCCACCCAACAGAAAAGTCTTGCGTGCTGACATATCACTGAAGCCGCCTATATATTTTTCTCGTCCGGGCTCATTGTTACTCTGCTACATCTACACTCACATCACAGCCGCCAAAATGATCAACCTTGGAATCATTGGAACAAACTGGATCACCCACTCATTTGTCGAGGCCGCCCACGCAACTGGCAAATACAGCCTCACAGCCGTCTACTCACGAAAAGAAGAGACTGCAAAGGAGTTTGCATCTAAATATACCGTCAACAACATGACCTGCTACACGGACCTCAATGCCCTTGCCAGCGGTGACAAGATCGACACCATCTACATTGCCAGCCCCAACATTTTGCACTACGAGCAAGCCAAGCTGTTCCTTACCTCGGGAAAGAATGTCATCCTAGAGAAGCCAAGCTGCAGCACTGTTTCCGAACTCGACCATCTCTTTTCGCTTGCAAAAGAAAACAACGTCATCCTTGTCGAGGCGTTCCGCCACATTCAAGAAGCAAATTTCAAGCTACTGAAGCAAAAGATTGCCGACATAGGCCCGCTGTATGGCGCCTCAATCAATTTTGCCCAGTACAGCAGCCGGTACGAAAAGGTTCTGCAGGGCGAGGTTCCCAACATCTTCAACCTCGAGATGGGCGGTGGTGCATTAGTCGACCTTGGCGTATACTGCGTCGCCGCCGCCGTTGATCTCTTCGGTGCCCCCCTCGACTCGCAGTACTGGCCTGTCAAGATTGCTACGGGAGCGGATGGCGCCGGCCGTCTGATCCTGACGTACCCCAACTTTACCGTACATCTCTGCCACTCCAAGATTTACAACTCTGACGCGCCATCTGAGATTTACGGAGAAAAGGGTACACTTATTGTACCGACTATCACCGACATCAACAAGGTTATCCTGTGGGATCCGAAGAAGAAGACAAGAGAGGATATCCCTGGTGTCAAGACGCCCGAAAAGCTCAATCTGATTGAAGAAGCGAGGGAATTCGCAAGGTGTATCGAAGAAAAGGACCATGTGGAATTGAGCCGATTGGAGAAGCACTCAAGGGACACGCTAGCCATCATGCACAAGGTCAGGCATGACAATGGCCTTGTGTTTGCCGGTGGCAAGTAGCGAGTTCGCTTGAAGAAGGGTATGTCATCCTTGTGCTAAGTTGGCGAACACGAAGTGGGTGGGATGAAAGATGGTGTAACGGGTACCATCCCTGACGATGCATGAACAAGACCCCTTTTTTTGCACTGCACATTTCTTCTGTCACCATGCATATAATGTACATATGCTTATTATTACAATTGTACTATTTGTGTTACCAAGGTCATTAGCCTCACTTTTCACAAATCCAAAGGGTAGAAGAAGTATGAATGTTTGAACAAGATTGATAGTTGATTGAACTCGTATCAAAATTAAGAGAAAAAAAAACCAAAACAATTCATCTGCACCACTCTCTCTTCCCTTCGAAAAAAAACTCTCCAATCCTTCGTACTCTCTCTCTCTCTCACAATAAAAGGTTGGACTTTGAAGAACAAAAGTCCCTAGATTAAGAATGATAATTAAGTCTCTCCCACTTTCCTCCCTCGTGGTTTCCTCAAACCCCCAAGAATCGAATTAAACCCTAACAAAAGCGCGTAGTTGTAGCATAGCAGCTACTGGTATATTCGCAAAAATAATTTCAAAAAAACAAAAGAGAAAGATCATCTCATCATCGTTGTTGTTGTTGTTGTTGTTGAAAGTTTAGAGTTTAAAGTCCCCTTTGTGTTCATCTGGTTTGGCCTTTTGACTTGTATCGTTTGACCTTCCCCCTCCCCGGGCGCGGTTGTTGTTTCAATGCGCATAGTTGGATTGGTTCGTTTATTGAGTGGGGATTGGTGGGAGGGGTCGGGTTGGTGGGGGGCCTGGGCAGGGAGGGAGGACAGTCCATGGTCGGGGAGCCATTTTGGAAGGTGGAGGGTTGGTGGTTGGTGATATGGTTGTGGTTGTTGGTTGTTGGTTGGAAGGTACTACGGGGAGTAGTGGTAGTGCTTGGTGATCTCAAGTGTAGATGAGATGGGATTGATTGTAGTTGTTGTTGGTGTTGTTGAAGTATGACTCTATTGTATTGTACAAAAGAGTTGGTAGGTATGTGGGATGTGTTTGTGTGAAGGTTGTGTCGAGTCGAGTGTAGAGAAAGGTAGGCTTTTGAAGTTGTGGCTGTAGTTGTACTTGTAGCTGTGATGATGTTCAGTTCCGCGGGAATTCACACTCCTATATAAAAAAATTGATCGTCAGCCTGAAAGGACCCTACCCCCCTTCACCCGCACCCACACCCCCCGGCCCCTGAAAATAATCTTTCGCGACAAAGGTACCGCACCACCTGCACGTAACTCAGGGTAAGCCCTCCACCCAAACGAACACGCGTAAAAGGAAACACCCATACCCAGCGAAAAAGAAGAAAAGATACGGCTTCTGGCAACTGCAAGGTACACTAGGGAATCCAGGATCCACAGCAACCACCCCCGGGTGTGGTCTGCTAGCCGTATGATCGACACCTAAGCCTCTTTCGCGTGGTTCTCATTCCTTTTTGCGCTACCACTAGACAGGGGAGATGTGAGTGGAGCCAAGCACGTCAATGTCCCCACCTTGCCTTGTTAGCGCGGTCCCGATTGCTGCCAACAAAGGGAAAAAGCAAAAACATATTGTCTCTCTCCCCAGGCTGGTAGGCTGGCAGGCTGTTGAAGGGGGGGGGAAGAGTGGGGGCGAAGGGGGGAACAGGCAGGCAGCTTCCGCTGCTCTCGCCAAAAAAGATAGGCGTTTCCTCCCTCCCAAGCGAGACTAAATTGGGATTCGTGAACAGTCTGGATCCGGTATCTGGGGCAGTGGGGCGAGCAGCCAGTCTGATAGTGGCAATAATCGAGGGCGGATAGGTGACTTTGTTGAACGGTTGTAAGACGATGAAAGGAATCGTCTCTTACTCAGCCAGACCGTCTTCGTCCAGTGTGTCACAAAGACTGTAGGCCAAAGGTATGGTCAACTTATCGCAGAAGGTCTTCGATGTAGTTTACCATCAGCATCACCTGAGCATCAGGCCATTTAGCGTCATCGTTTCTAAGGCAATGGTGCCTGAAGTTCCCTGCCACGAACATTTCTTTGCCCAACGTGCTGGCCACACCCACTCGCTACGCCCCAAACGTCCGCGCCTCAAACCCTTAGCCACAGTGCCTCGCGTTTCCAACGAGTGTCATATCACTCGTGAAGCTAATGCATCGCATCACCTCAGCTTACCATCGTTGCTGAGAAGCTGCACCGCTGCCACACCGACGGTCCCTGCGTGTCATGCCATGATGATTGCACCATCATGATGGCGAGTCCCAAGATCCCCTCATCGCTTAAGCCGCTTGTGTCGATCTCCCTCCACGGTAAGTATGCTAAGCGAGTATAATCCCGGTGCCGATCGATGATCCTGATGTACGTTCACGGTGTGCACAGTAGGTTAGCGAGAGTGCATTCGAGGAAGCAGGCAAGCGTGCGCTAATTCAACAACCTTTTCGCATATTAGCCTTGCCTCAAGCGGCTGTAAACCACTCTAACCGTAAGACAGTGTGGGATTGGGAACAAGATACAGAGTAATAGCGTGCATATGCATAGCTCCCAAGCTCCTTGTACACAATCAGGCTGAAATGAATATGATGATACCCCTAGTGTGTCCTTCGAGTTAACAGTGTACCAAAGTCTCTCGACAGACGAAAAAGGCTAGCTTTGCGGTCCAACGGTTCTGTCGCCAATAACCTGTCTTACCGCGGCCACTTGAAAGGGACCATCAACCGCGGATCTGGATTTCCTACGGCTGACGTGCCCATTAAACCTGGCTCATACTGGCAGCATCCACGTGCATAGGCCATGCGGGTGTCGCTTACCCCTACCCGCCTGGCTTTTGTTTCGAGGCACGATAGGTCATAGCTGTGGGGTACTTTTCGGGCTCTCCGAGGGCTGATCTTAACTTGGAATGAGCTGACAGGTGTGGGGTTGTGACAGCGCGGGCTTGCGATGACGGTTGCCCCATGGCTGTGGCTCGCAGTGTTCTTACACCGCTTGAGTCAAGTGGTCTGCTCCTTGCCGAGTTCATCACAGATCTGACCCGGGACAGCGTGTAGCATTGAGACAAGAACATAACTCCTGCCTCGCTTCTGTGCTGCAGAGTCCCGTCTTCCGCGGCCCGTGCTGGCACTCGTGAGCCTATGGTGTCCCAGTGTTGGAAGCCTTAGGTAGCGCCAGGAACATGCGGATAGTACTGTCAGGTGCCTATGCCGTAGTATTATCCTCGGTGCGAGTGATTATGCCGTGTTATCTTCATAATGATCGGGGCCAATCGTCTTAGCCACTGCGTACTGAGCCAGTTGGTTAGTCATCTTATGTGGGCCGAACAGAACCACAGGCCGTTAAATTAGCAGCAATTTACTCTATTTCAGCACCAAAATACACCTGTTTCGCCCGATCGATTGTACCGCCAAAAGTGGGGCTATCCAGCTAATTCACGTGCCCTGTTGACTTAGGCAGCCAACACACAGAGTTCGTGTCGCGGCCAACTCGACCGTACCAAGGTTCACACTTCCGGGCCGTCCAAACTACGTGTACACTCTTCAAAGAAACTATCTTCGTCTTGGCGCGCGCGTTTAACTGTGATTGGACGATAATATTCGATCTTGATAGAAATTGCGAGATTTTCAGTAAGTCCAACTGGTACTATAGCGAAACTTACATGGAGAGGTAACCCAAGCCCCTGCATATCCTCATGAATTCAGGAGTGTCTCAGGAGGGTAATTTAGCTAGATTATGGAGTCCGTAGCAGAATTACTCCAGTTGATTCGTATGCCGAGCCTAATCTATAGACAGCTTGTTCCGAGAGTCAGCCTTGTGAGCCATTGGTCCTCTCTGATGTTTTCGTCTTTTCATACTCGAAGCGGCCTAGGTAGATCGGTTTAATGTTTTGTTGCATTCGAATGGCATTATGAATCTGACGCTGGGGCATCAACACTGATCCGCATTACCGAGTACTTGTTAGCCCCTGGGGAGGACGGCAGCCCCAACAACAGTCCCTTTTTATAATAAGGTTTGTGGATACTTGTATTTGTCTCCTAGTAGACTCCTCTCTACTTGAGTACCCAGCTTGGCGGCACTCATTTTCCTATCGGCTGACTGTTACCGCTTGACTTTGACAAGCCACACCAGCCGGTAATAAGCGCCACTGTCATGGCCTGAGTCTGCCACGCGCTACACTGTGTATTCCCAGCAATCGGCAAGAAAATGCCGCAATCGAGCACACGGCATCGGGAGTGGGGCAACCTGTTTATGGGGATTGTGTCAAATATTAGATGGCCTCAATAGCCTCAAACGGCCTTACATGTCACCGAAGTCGGAATACTAGCTGGTCGGTTATAGCTATCCTGAGTCACCAGTTTCTATCATGGCTATCGTGAGGGGTAGAAGCGGTTCTTTGGGATCAGGCCTTCCAAAATGTTGGTGTAGTATGTTGTCGATTGGTAATCAGTGCAGAACGACGCTCACGTAGCGCCATGAATTCATCCGGGGAATACATGTGACGAGCAATAATAGAGTGGCTAACTTAATAGAGATGGAATGGTGGCTAAGCTTACCGAAAGACATATGCCAGTTCGGCCTCAGAAAAACGCGATACCTACGCGAGCAAGGCGCCAAAGCCGGGGCCTTTCGCGTCCCAGCAGCATGGTGAAACCGTAGTTCGCTCATGTCGCAATCAGCCACAACTACCTAGTGGAAAAAGCTGAGTAGGGAGGTTTTGCTGTAAGCAATTCGTTGTGGCAACAGCGCGCGGCAACCGCGGCAAATGTACAGTAACGAGTTGAGGCGGGACCTCAGGGGCAAATGACTCATGGTTGTCTGTCAAGGTCAGCCACATAAACATACTTAGAAAATACGGAAGATACCGCAGACCCATTGTTCGGGTCTCTCAGACGAGCCAATGAATGCTTTGGCCACACATGCATTCCCAGTAAAATCTAATTTTCCTGGGGAGAATCTTCTACTCGAGAACAGAGTATATGGCGGCGATTCTTTCAACCTGCTTGGATAGAAAGAATGGCTTCAATATCGTATTCCGGTGC